GCAGCCTGATTTATTTAAACAGTTCAGGCAGAGTCAGGCTATAATGCTGCTTTCACCAGTAAGACTGGAATCCTGCATTAGGATGAGAGAGCACATACAGTGGTAAACTTCAGATATCATTTACGATTCAAATGTTCAGCACTTGGAGAGGAAAAATAAATGTTCTACTTGCAGTAATAAAAAAAAACGTGTTAGTACATTAATCAGTTTGATATCTGGTGTCCGTGATGTCAGCAACATCTCCACAGAGTTATTGATGCTATAACTATATTAAAAAGGGGCAATCATTTAGCATTCCACCTCAAAATAATGGGTACATTTCATGATTTAATTAAAGAAACAAGGTTAAGAATCAAGGCAGCAGAGGACGAGATGTTCAAAATGGCAGACTAGTAATCTAGTAGCGGTAATCTAACACGTCCCACAATGTCAATTTATAGCATCATGCCTTATAGATGCCAATGTCTCTACATTCGAACACCTGCACTTTATAAAAAAGGCTTCATGTTCAAATGTGTAAATGCGTGGAGTGCCCCTTTGCAATTTCACGGATATGCAGTGTTTGGTTTAAAAGTTATAACTGAGGTTAATGTAGAACTACAGTTAGGCTAACATTAGAGTTGGGATTAAGATTAGGTTATTATCACAGTAATGGATAGATGCATCTAAAGAGCTGTAGCAAATACTAATGCAACCCTTTACTGTACATCTACACCAAGACAATTTGTTGACAACAACTCTGGATATCATGTGTTCATTTCATCCTCATGCATTAGCATCTTTAACAAAGCGGTTAAAGTTTGAGCTGGCGGCGGTTCCACTGCCTTACCTCCACGATGGCATTGAGGGCCGTGTCTGCCCCGATACTTAGATCTGTGCCCGGCACATTGTTACTTATGGTGGCAGGCAGCATACACATCGGGATGCAAAACTCCTCATAGGTAGTGCGCGCCTCATACAGCTGCAGCAGACTCTCAAAGGCCTGAAGCGGCAGTGTGTGAAAAACACGTTAGTCAGAGAGGTGAATCTCTCTCAGTCTGCTGGAGCGTATCCGGCCATTCCGGCTCTTTCCGTGTGATAGCGGCTATGGCTTCCCTTTGGCAGGAAGGACGGGAGGACAGAAGTGTGAATGGAGAGATGGAGTAGAAAGAGAAGGAGGAGGAGGGCGTGGCGGAGTGGAGCCACAGAAGGTGGGAGGACATGATGAGGAAGATGATGGAAGAAAGTCAGAAAGGTTGAGAAAAGATGGGGCGGGGGTCTGTGTATTTGTGAACTTAAAAAGGACATCCATATGACGTACATATCTGATGTGGAAGGTAATATGCAAGCAAGACGAGCACCGTCTGCATACATAAGATGAGGATGAAGAAGACGAAGAGTCCTGCTCAGAAATGCTCTCCGTTTGTATTTGCGCTGGTTCCTTATTCAGATTTCGTACATATTCCACGCATAAAGAACATCAAGCTTGCCGAATATGATCACTAATGCAGATACAGCGCATGTTAACTATACTACAGGGTGTTAGTCTGTGCTCTCTAGCTAACTAGACCACTAAACTCAATCTGGGTGTGAATGATGTGGGAGGACACAAACACACAGACAGGAGGTCGAGCAGGCAGAGCAAGCATGGCGGCCACGGCACTCGTGCACCTCACAGCATGCCTGCAGGCTGTCGCTCGCGTACTCACCTGAGACCGTAGGGAAGGGAGGCACGCTACTCTTTACCAGCCTCACAGAACAACTTAGGGCTGCACCATTTGGAAAAAGTAAGACTAATTTGACTGATATTGCAACCAGGATATGATTTGTGATATACTCTAAGAGGGATGACCCTTTTTGACATTATCATTTAAAAAATATATTAGAAATCATCATGATGTGCTTTTTTTTAAAGGAGGATTTGCAACAAACAAGGTTTTCATTTTATTTTTATATACAAAAACACCTCTTTCAGATTGATATATTCACATATTTTGCCTTTACTTAATATTGCACTGCTCTTTATTGTGATTTTGATCCAATTTGACTTGATTGTGCAGCACTAGTAGACGTGACTCAATTTGTCCGTCTGAATTTGTGATGTTTAAGTGCTGTGTTATTCCAGATGTGGAAAACAGATGCCATGTTCCCATCATTTTCTCCAAATGGTTGAGAGACTGGTCAAATTAGAGTGTGCGTCATCTCCCCTCTCCATTGGCTGGCTCGCTACGTGAGTTTTTGTCTGCTTGCGTGTGTGTTTGTTGTCCGTCTCTGTGTTGCTGAGGTCAACTACTTGTGCTTGCCAGCCGCATCACTTACAGTAGTGATGGCGTTCAGAGCCGTGTCAGCGCCGATGCTGAGGTCTGAGCCCGGCACATTGTTGGAGACAGTGGCTGGGACCATGACCATGGGCACACAGAACTCGTCATATTTCCCGCGAGCCGTTATCAATTCCAGCAGTGACAGGAAGGCCTGCAGGGCAGAGCCAAGGGGCTTTAGTGTCTGCGAGGAGTTTGGCAGGTGGGTTTGGTTGGAAAGGTTCTACTTGCCACAAGGAAGGGACAGACAAAAGTGGAGGGTGCCAAGGGGAGGAGCCAAGTCTATCACAACGGACAGCAGCGAAACAGACAGATACCACTCCGCATACTCTCACACAGTCAAACATCATTTACTTGCATTTATCACAGAAAAATAAAGCTGGTGAACGTCTAAACAGGAGTGCGTGAAATGGCTGGAAGTAAAGCAGGTGCTCTCTGTTTCCAATTAAAATCAAATCATCACAATATATGTTTCAGTTACTGCTTCACTATTCATTTCAGAACTGGAAATCAACAGTGAAGCAACTTTATGCTGTTCTGCGTTTTGACAGAGAACGGACTTTGAAGCATGATTATGAAGATGACTACGTAAGGAGCCATATGGTGGTGTGCTGACATTAAATGGGATAAGAATGATGGAAAGAATCAGCATCACAGTGTTCACTTTCTTATAGTTTACATATGGAAATCTCACAGTATAATTAGTGCTTGAACAGTTTGTCATTTCTAATTGTATGAGTATTCTAATGATAATGCTGGATATGTAATATAGCCTTAGCTCTTATGTAATTCATTTTCTAGAGTTAAAAACCCTATGAAAACTCAAAGTTAATAATGTAGCCTCATTAGCCAAATGACCTAGCAAGGGCAAAGCTTTAAACATACCTCAAATCCACCGACAATTAGGAGTGCATTTATGTTGTTCATTCGCATCTGCTCAGCAATTTTTTCAACATGCTTTGCAGGAAGTGTTCTGAAAAAAGGAGAGAACAAAATTGTTTTTTTATTTACAGGACATGAGTTTTTAGTGCATGTGAAAACATTGTAACTGTTGCAAAGCATATAGCTGTGGATGTGGCCTTTAAAGGGGCCCTATTGTGCAAAACAACTATATAAACACACTAAAGGAAAAGGAAAACTCCCCCAATAAGCGTATAAGGGGTGAAATGTGCAGCAGTAATGGCACATCTTCAATCAGAGATAACATATCAGACTTTACCTTTTGGTTCCCAACAGAGATCCACCCTGCCCTGTCCATCCTCCGACATCAGCCCATTTAATCTCCCTTATCTGAGGGGGAGACGACAGCATCACATCATGTTTTAAATTCCTATAGCATTCAAATGTATCCCTAACATTGACACACTGCAACAGACGGAACATCCTGTAATGGCTAAAGTGGAGAGACATTGGTAGAAAGAGGGTTCATTTTCTGGACACATTCCCTTGGCAGGGGAACTGGACCAGTTAAAAAAAGAAGGTGTGTATCAGAGCAGAGAGTCCCAGAGCACTGAAGTATAGAAATCCATTACTCCCGCTGGTCTAATCTGCTGAGGGTCACTTGGCACCAGAGGTCGCGTTAACCGAATATTTTCCGTCTATGACGGAATTTTTTTATGACGGAAAAATCTGAAAGCAGTCCGTCATTTTGACAGATTAGAACACAACCTGGAACAGCGCCAAAATGTCCACCAACGGACCACATTATATTACATCCTTAGTAGCCAGGTCGACTGAGGGCGATCTACTGTACTCTACTGTAACTATTATTTAGTCATTCACACCCCTGTCCAGTTGGTGGCCTATCCCCCTGTGTGCCTTTGGCAGTCTCAGAAAAATAAATCATTCATATTCGTTTTGACATGAAAAGTGACCCCACGGTCGGTGTCTCTGTTCATCTTTTTTTTTCTCCACGCCCTTAAAAGTTCTGTATGAATCATACAAAAAAGGAATGAATGAACATTTGCTGCTTAGTACCCAAACATAAATATTAAATATGTCTCATCATTAAAACATGAAAAATAAAATGACGGGTAATAATGGATTATGACGGAAATGTTACGATCCTGTCCGTCAAAATGACAGACAACGAAAAAGTCTAACGCAACCACTGGTCTGTCATAGTATGACAGACATCTTTGAACACACTTCTTTGTGGAGATTTAGAAATGCTTGTATGCATATTGTATCATCTTTTCCCAGGGCTTTTTTTGGAAGTTTGAAGCTTTTACAGTACATAATTGAGCTGCTTGTTAAACATGTTTTTTTTGGCTTTAACATCAAATCACCTCCTGCAGCTAGCACCACACTAGAAGACACAACGAGTCACATGTATAATATGAGGTCAATAGGTCAGCATTTCCTATTCCTTTTGTTTTGTTGAGCCATCCTCAGCTCCACTCACATCCTTCTAGTAAATAAATGTCCTCAATTAACTCTCTGAGATCCACATCAAGACATTTTCACTTTTGCATAACTTATACAATTCTGATTTCTTGCAGTAAAATCAAACTACTCTCGAGGTAGTGTATAGCTCCCTCAAAACATTATATATGAATAGATGATATAAGCCCATCCCATCACTGTCTCTCCGCCTTGGAAAGTAATGTCCAAAGCCTCAGCTTTCACTTCTTTCATTCTCGCCCGTTTATCCTCTGTTGTTGTCGGCTGTGTATATTAACAGCCAACAGAAATGTTTGATTGAGAACATCAACAACAACGATGTTGGATGAAAATGTATCAATATGCATATGGATAACTTTAGAAAGAGAGTATACTCATATTTTACAAGAATGTGCAGAGGCGCGGGAAGGTATTTTGAGTGGGGGTGCTGAGGTGCTGGACTCCAGTGAACACTATTACGGGCACTATAGAGCACGCACAAAAAAACTCCCCACACGCAAACACACAGTAAACCCGCGACTGTTACAATGAAGGCTCGATAATCAGCTCACGGCATACAGGCAGGGGTAAAGTGCTATTTTTTACGAGTGGGGAGCGGACCTCACCTCCTCTAGGGGGGTCCGGGGGGATGCTCCCCCGGGAANAAGTACATATTTCTGCATGTTTTCAACCGTGAAAACGTACTATTCCAGGGGAAATTGGTTTTCTTCTTCACCTGTTATCCTCCTTCAAACCCGCACAAGCTATCGAATTGTTCTTTACCCCCTATTTTTTTGCCGTAAAGAAAAAACCTGTAAGGTAGGAATTTTTCTTAAGCACTCCTTTTCCAGTGCGTGAAGTTAAGGAAAAAACACACCGTGTCCAATAAAACTTGGGAAACCGATAAACTTCCTGAAAAAAGAAGATTTAACGAAAGCGAGATGCCCCGGTGTGTCAGGGAACTCACCAAGTGTCAGAAAACACAACCCTCTCTCTTTTCCTCCATACCCAAATCTCTAAAAACGGGGCTGCAACGGAGCTGATTATTATTTGAATTTTTCTGACGTCAGAAAAGGGGTGCCCCGCCTACTGTATATGGGCAACTCTCCACCTATCAGGGGAATGAGAGACCGCTCAAAAGCGCTGGAGACGCTGTAGTACATATGCCAGGCCTGTAGGTGGCGCTGTAGTCTGCCACAAACGCAGAATCAGCCCTTGCAAAAACAGGGCTGGAAAAGAGCAAATAGAGCGAAATGAGGCATGGCTGAAATGCATGATCTGTTTGGATTTAAAAAAACAACAACTTCACAGACATGTTTTATATAGGTATGGCCCTACAATATATGTTTCAAATATAGCATGATAGGTCCACTTTAAAAAGAAAATCTAAATTATTTTGCCAACTTGTGATTATTTATTTACCAATAAGCTATTACAAACTTCATGCTGGAGAAAAACAGCTATTGAATCAGACATACATGTAAACCATAAAGTATATGACCTTTGCCACAGTGCATTTACGGAAGGTGAACAACTTCAAGAGTCACGGACCCATGCACCTGTCATTTCAATCCTGTGTGTCCTCTCATGAGTTGTACCTTTCAGTAAGTCATGAGGTCGGCCCCCCCCTCGGGACGGACGGATGACCTGCTGCTTAGAGGCCAGCTTGTAACTGAAAGGCCAAGCGACTGCGCCCCTGCATCAATCTATGCCTCTGTGTCAAAGAGGACTTGAGTTAGACAGTGAAGTATTACTTTCTCCTGGGGCAGGGCATCTTGCTGACCATGCACTGTTCCCTCTGCACTTTGTAATCCGTGTCCTGTGTTCATTGTCATTACAAGGGTTACAAAAAGTGCTTGCTTCATGTACCTATTAATGTTTTTTTCTTCTGAAAAGCACAATAACGCATGGAGTTGAATCTTGTTTTTCTGTATCCTCGTCTTCTCTAACACTTGTGTTCATTTGTACTTGTTCATTTGTAGAAGTGAATCCATTCTTGACCACAGTGGACTTGTACTTATCTCTTTTTTTTAATTCTTATTTGATTCTAAAAACATTTCAAAGAGTTGTTTTACTTCTTTCCATCCTGCATTGTAAAAAAGTTTGTGACGCGTTATGCAAAATAAATTGGGCTGAACCCACAAAACAAAAAGTGTTTTATATTTTGATGTGAACAAAGTCTTATTGTTTCCACTGTTATCTCTAATATCTGAAGTTGTGAGGAGTTCTCTCTAGCTTGTGTGTAAATGTTCCGCCAAAGGGGCTACTTATTTCCAGTAAGAAGTGAAGAAATGCTTGTGATTCTGTGAGTACACATACCATGGAACATTTTCTGCTTTAATGAGGGCTTTTACCACACTGGCAATTGTCCCAGTACCTGAGAAAAGTAATTCTGAAGTACAGTAAGTGTTTTGTGTTAAAGTGAAAAAACAAGTGCTCGAAGTGACGTATATCAGCTGTGACCACAGTGTAATACCCCCGAAGTGCACAGCAGATACAGCACTTAGTGGGCTCTGTTTGCCTCGGGTTCAGTGTCAGAATTAAGGCATAGCACAGTACCTTCCAAGGCCAACACGAGCAGACACTTCTTCGCCTGCAGAACAGCCATGATAAACTCTTGAATGGTCTTTCGTGCTTTCATAGCACCGTAACCTTCGCCTCCCAGAATGCCTGAGGAGGAAGGATAGTGTTTCATGTGAACAGCTAAGAGTTCAACTGTATGCCAAGTAAAATATCAAAAGACTCCGAACCGGAGCACGTGCAGTCCCCTCTGATATCGACTCGAAAGTTCTGGGTTCAAAAATGCAAGTTTATGTGTGAAACTCTTTTTAGAAAAGGAAGAAAAAACGAAAAGAATACGTTGATGGTAATATGACGTTGCTAGTTCTCTGTAAGAGTGTTTTTGTTTTTTAACCAACAGCCACAGCTCCTATGAAAACTCTAAAACCATTTTTATTTTTTATTGTGTCCTCTAAACAAGTTCACTGATATAACATATCCATAGAAAGAGCCGAAACAGTTCCACAGTACAGCATTAAATAAAAAACATTCGCCTTTGGACACAAATTACATTCAGGGTGCCCAAATGGATATTGTTTCTGATAGATGACAATGTGCCCTATGATATAATATAAAGCTCATTTGGGTGTGAAATACTACACATCATTTCTATGACTCCACAAATCCTATCTACTGCTTCAGTGAGCCCCAGTGCCAATGGAGCAGCTCGGGGTTTTTCTCTCCTCATCACATCACAAATTACAGCCTCGGTTCAACTGAAGCTTCAGGATTCAATTGCTTAAGCTCAGGAAAAACATAGACATTCTGCTCGAGGGTGGATTTCTGGCATCAGATTTCTGCTCTTCAAATACATAGAGAGCACTGAGTTTCGGGACCACCTGCTCTTGCCATGACTTAGACTGATAAGGTGAAGGTTATGATCTTTAATTGATTTCACTCCCATTTCACTCATGAAGGGAGATGTAGATGGAATCACTTTTAAGCCTTGTGACATGGTGGAAAAGGAGGGCATGGTGAGCAAGATGTGTTAATATTTAGTGTACTCAGGGAATGTGAAATCAAATGATTAGAGCTGCATGGGAGAAAACAGCTCATGGAAATGATCCTCAATGTTTATGTCGGATTATTCTCTGGATTGCTGCTGCTGCTGTCTATCTCTGATTCATTTTTTCTATGGAGAATGTTAGACTGGAATAGAAATGTGCACAGCCATAAAACCTCAATGTGTGCTGCATGGACAATTCTACTAGAATAACAAATCAGTGCTGTATCAGCACAGTGGAATCAGCTTCTTTTAGAAGCTTTATTCACATTGTTTCAACTAAAAAGGTCTCTTTCAGAGGACATAGGTCATCTTTGTTCGAGGATAAAATGACTAACAAAAGCTAAAGGGCGCCCTGATTTCAGTGTGTGGGTTCCTCTCT